CAGCATCCTTTATAAACCCAGAATATACAGGAAAATTAAACATAGAAAACTGTGCACCAATAATCATAACCACTGTGTTAAACAAACACCAATTGAATACAAAAGTTAACATCCCTATGTTCATAGAATTCCGAGAATGTGGAATCCTGGAATTCTTTGTCTTTAAATTTCATAACTATTTCGATGGTCTCATTGGACTCGATATACTTACTAATTTAGGTGCAAAAATAGACCTCGAGAAAAAGCAATTAATTACAAACAATTGCTGCATCCCTTTGTCTTTTAAACCAAACTTAACTTCCGGTAAATTTCTTATATCACCAAAAACTAAAGCAATTATGAAAATTCCTGTAGATTTAGAAAGTGGCGATTTCCTAATCCCCGCAATATCAATTAACCCAGAAGTAACCATTTCACCTGGTATGTACAAGGCTGAAAACTGGTACAGCTTCGTTGAAATAAATAATAAGTCAAACTCGGACAAAATAATTTTAATCGAAAACCCAATTAAAGTAGATCCAATAAAAAATTCATATTATAGGGAAATTAATAATATAAGCTTCGAACATATTCCTGAATTTCAAAGCCCTCAGTTACTGGACAATCTTAGAATTGATCATTTGAATATGGAAGAACAAAAGGTTATCACAAAACTATGTAAAGAATTTGAAGATATTTTTCTTCAAGATAATCAGTCCCTTACCTTCACCAATAAAATCAAACACAACATTGTCACAAGAGACGACATTCCTATTTACACAAAATCATATAGATACCCCCATATCCACAAAGAAGAAGTAAAAAAACAAATTTCAGACATGTTAAATCAGGGTATCATACGGGAAAGCTACTCACCATGGAGTGCACCTGTTTGGATAGTCCCAAAAAAAGCAGATGCTAGTGGGAAAAAAAAGTGGCGTTTAGTTATTGATTACAGGAAACTAAACGATAAAACAATATCAGATAGATACCCAATACCAAACATAAATGAAATACTGGACAAACTTGGCAAGTGCATGTATTTTACCACATTGGACTTGGCTAGCGGATTCCATCAAATAGAAATGAATCCAAAAGATATTCCCAAGACAGCATTTACAGTAGAAAATGGGCACTACGAATTTGTGAGAATGCCCTTCGGCTTAAAAAATGCACCATCAACATTTCAACGGGTGATGGATTGCGTTCTTAAAGATTTGATAGGAACAGTGTGTCTTGTCTATTTAGACGACATCATTGTCTATTCAACCTCACTCCAAGAACATTCGGAAAATTTAAGAAAAGTTTTTGAAGCCCTTAGAGAAGCTAATCTTAAGATTCAATTAGATAAGTCTGAATTCTTACATAAGGAATGCGCATTTTTGGGCCATTTAGTGACCACAGAAGGAGTAAAACCAAATCCTGACAAAATAAAGGCGATCCAAAACTTTCCTATACCCACAAATCAAAAAGAAATAAAATCGTTTTTAGGTCTACTAGGTTATTACCGTAAATTTATTAAAGACTTTGCCAAAATAACAAAGCCATTTACAGCTTGTCTGAAGAAAAATAAAACTGTTATAGTCGACGATAACTATAAAAAAACGTTTGAAATTTGTAAACAACTCTTGGTAAATGACCCTATCTTACAATATCCAGATTTTTCTAAGCCTTTCAATCTTACGACAGACGCAAGTAATTTTGCGCTAGGAGCCATTCTTTCGCAAGGACCTATAGGGAACGACAAACCGATTTGTTACGCAAGTCGCACACTCACGACATCGGAAATCAATTACTCAACAATAGAAAAAGAGCTCTTAGCCATAGTTTGGGCTACAAAATATTTTCGACCATACCTATTTGGTCACCAGTTCAGAATCATAACAGATCATAAACCACTCACATGGATTATGAGCCTGAAAGAGCCAAACTCTAAATTAATAAGATGGCGACTGAAATTAGAAGAATTCGATTATGAAATTATATACAAAAAAGGCAAACTAAACACAAACGCCGATGCCCTTAGTCGCATAAAGACTGACACATCAGTCAATCTAAACATAAATGCATTTGATACAACGTCAAATCAAGCCACTTCTGGTAGTACTATTCACTCTGCAGAGGAAAACTGCGATGATGGTATTCCGATTTCGGAAAAACCAATAAATGATTTTAATTTACAAACATTATTTAAGACAGGAAACTCTAATTCTCACATAAAACAAGAAGTAGTTTTTAAAAACAAATATAGAAAAACATTTACATACCCCAATTATACAGAGGAAATTATAACACAAATTTTTAAAAATCATCTAGCGCCCAATAAAACCACGGCAATTTTTACAGATAATGAAACTTTTCGCATTATTCAAAATGTATATTCCAAACATTTTGCACAAAGCAAAATTTTTCGTTTAGTTAGGTGTACTGAAATAGTAAAGGACATAAAAGAAAACGATAATCAGGATAAAATCATTCAAGACTATCACGAAAACAATAATCACAGAGGCATACAAGAAACCTATGACCACCTAAAACGCGAATATTACTTTCCATACATGAAATCAAAGATAGCTCAAACAATAAATAATTGTACTTCATGCCAAAGACTAAAATATGATAGACATCCTCCGAAGAATAAGTTTGAAAAACCTCCCACACCTGTAAAACCATTAGATATAATACATATAGACATTTACACGATTAACAGCAAAAATATTTTAACCATTATAGACAAATTTTCCAAATTCGCCGCAGCATATACTCTAACAGCGAGAAACAGCCTTTGCGTTATTAAATCTTTAAAACATTTTCTTAGCCTGCATGGCATACCTAACAAAATAGTTTGTGACCAAGGAACCGAATTCACATCAAACATATTTAAAGACTTTTGTCAGCAATACCAAATTGACCTACACTTTACATCTTTTCAACAATCTTCTAGCAATTCCCCCGTAGAAAGACTCCATTCAACATTAACTGAAACTTACAGATTAATAGTCGAGAAAATTAAAGAAAAAAAGTTAGAAATGGATCATGACGACATCCTAACAGAAGTTCTTATAACCTATAATAACGCAATACATTCTTCTACTAAAATTACACCTTTCGAACTTTTCTATGGAAGAACCTATAAAATTAACCGTCAAATTACATTTAACAATGAACACGAATATCTTTCTAAAATTAATCAATTTCGAACACAACTCTACGAATCTATTAAGGAAAAATTGGAAACCGACACGGACAAACGCATAGAAAAACTTAATGCAGACAGACAAGATCCACTAAATTATGATGTAGATAACTATATATACAGGAAGGAATGTAGGAGAAACAAATTAACACCGAGATTTTCTAGGCACAAAGTGAAACAAAACAACAAAGCAACATTACTTACTACACAAAACACGAAACTTCACAAATCAAAAATAAGAAAAAAACAATTTTCATAATCTTTTATTTCAGATTAATACCCATGATACACACACAAACACTGGAGATACACAATTTAAAAGACACCCAGGGATTATTACAAATAAAACTGGGAACTGCTAAAACAATAATTGACTATATCAACCTTATACATATAATAAAATTAGATTCTTATAAGGATAATGTCATGAAAATTGAGGAATCTGTCAAACAATTTACTCCCACATATTACAACAGAGATTCCTTAAAGGTAACAAAATTTAAACTTAAAGACCTTAAGGATAAATTGAATTCAATAACTCCTAAATACCGCAGGAAAAGAGGATTATTTAATGGTATAGGTTCAGCAGTTAAATTTATCACAGGTAATATGGACGATAATGATGCTCTCCGTATTAACCAGGCTATATTTAATCTAACAAATAAATTACAAACTGAAACCAGTAAACAGAATATACTTAGTACTAGAATCATTGAAAGAATAGAAAATATCACAGACCACATAAATAAAGAACAAGATATAATAGTAGAGTCAATAAAGAATTCTCAAAATAGCATAAATTCCAACTCAAGACTTATAAATGATATGCAGTATTTAAATCAGATTAATTTCCACATTGATTTACTGACAAATCATATTAAAGATGTTTCTGAAGCGATGACATTGTCTAGCCTCGGAATTATACCCAAGATGATATTAAATACGCAAGAGTTAGAAGAAATAGGGAACAATTTAGAGAATCAGTCAATTAAAATTGATACAACAGAACATTTATATGAACTCTTACAATTACAGGCATTTTACAATGATACCAATATCGTTTTTAACATTCAAATTCCCCACATCCCATTAACCAATTACACAATTTCCCATACAATTCCTATACCAATTAATAAAACAAAAGAAATAGTTATAAAACCTTACACAATTTATAATAATAATAAAATTCAATATTTCGAAAATTTATGTAAGAAAATCGAAAACATATATTATTGTAAAGAAAGTTCACTACAAGAAACTATGGAAAATTCTTCATGCTTTGGAAAAATCATAAGTAATTTAGAAGCTAATTGTAATCTCAATAATATAGGCCAAATTACAGAAATATCACAACCTGAACAAGGACTTGTGTTAATAAAAAATTTACCGACCACAGAAATGAAAACATCATGTAACTCCGAAAAACATAATATTGAAGGCAACTTATTAATAAATTTTAAAAACTGTAATGTTATTATTAACGGAATTATCTACGAAGATAACCCAAACATATATTGGGACGATTTTATTGTAAAACTACCCACAGAAATAAACATAAAACCTTTGTCTACAATAGAAACTTTAAATATACCTAAACTCAAAGAGTACCATCTAGAAAATAAGTTAGCCATCGAAGAGTTATCAAACAATACAGAACTTCACAGACACATAAATTATGGAACTTTAATGTTAATAATTGGAATTGTAATTTTCACCTATATAATGAAACAGAAGACAAAATTAGTGGTAAATGAACTTCCCGCCAATACTGTTGTCGCTTCTGACCATCAATTCTTTTGGCCATCGCTCCATACTAAGGGGGGAGGAGTTACAGAAACAACATCAACAACAACAACATTAACACAAGCACCTACAAAGCCACCAAGGTTAAATCAAGCAAATAAATAATAAAAATTATTAAGAATTGCTAATAAGTCAATAACCGTATGAATTGCTACATATAAAATTAGTAAGAATTTTAAATAGTTCAACAGACCGAAAAAGAACTGTAAAATAAAGAATTGTTCAATAAAAGAATTGTTAAATAAGCATATATTTAAATTTCAAAGAATTGTAAACAGGCCACCAGCTATAGAATTACTAATAATTTTATAAATTGTCAAAATGCAGTTATTGCAATTTTCACTTTAAATAAGTTTATAATCGTAACTTTCATTTTAATTATTGTTTTCAATAAAGAAGAGAATTTTTGAGCAACCAACGAATAAACTTGTGTTTTTTTTATACTCGGATTACTACAAGAATTAACTCGGGCTTAGAACCGACCTTTTTTTTTCAAGGAAACCCGTGATCAGTACAGTTCGATAATATTAAAAAAAGTAAAATAAGTGAATATGGTGATAAAATAATAAAGTAAAAATATAGTATGTTTCAACGAAAAATAAGAATTTGTATAAAATCCGATTGGATCTCCTGCAACAAGCTGAATTTGATTGACGAATTTCTTTTTCTTATAAAAATCTTCTGGTGTAAAATATACTTGGGTTTGTGTGGTTAAAGCCGTGAAATATTGACAAACGGCATCAGTCCAGAAATTTTCCAAATTTAAGGGAATTATTCCGAAAAACGTGCCTGCGATTCCCACAAGAAGACTGAGGCATATGGTAACCACATTTTTCCCGAGGGAAATTATCATTAAATGACGCATTTATATGCCTCCAGGGTAAAATACAGTGAGTGCACAAACCTACCACAAACTGTACTGTATTGTAAACATTTTATAGAAGCATAAGACAGCAATGTAGAAATCACGTTAATTTGAGAAAATCTATACATTAAAAAAATACATGATCCTGTGCATGAAAACTATTTAAAGTAAAAATTTTAAGAAGTCACTTAAAGAGTAATCTTTCCTTTGGTTGTAAATTAAGAACACGTGTCTCAATGTAATATTTGAAATTAACCCTAAAGTAATGATGAATTGGAAATGTAATCTATACCCATTTCAAAGCAAACTTTTAGGCGTTTGCAATTTATACATCAAAAATAACAAAAACTTCATTATCTCGTTGTAGATATAAAGAAAGGAGAATTAAGCTAAACGTGTTAACATGTTTAAAGTTAAAAGAATGTGATATATAATACAAAATATACATAACCTAAAGACAAGCTATAAAGAATAAGACCGTGTAAAATACAACATAAAGTTAAAATCAGTGCATATATCATGCAAAGACTTAAGGTAAACGGAATATAAATATTGAAATACGATTTACATCAGCATCTTGATAAGATTAAACATTGATAAAATAAATATATATATATTATTCTAAAAATAATAAAAAAAATCATTCCTTCAGTTTCAGTAAAAAATTATTCATTCCTTCAGTTTCTGTATATACTAAAAAAATGCTTAAAAATTAAAAAAAATATACACGAAAAATTATAAAAAAACATACATGCATGCATATATGATATATGAAATATCGTAATATACACATAATTGTTAAAAAGAAAGAAACTAATTATTATTACACATATATAGATCTAAAGAAATATGTTAAAAATTATATTATTAAGTGAATTATCTCTAAGTTGAAACAAGAAAATATGTTTTGAATTTATTTAAAAGAATGGGCTGAATCTGATTATCAAATAGGTAGGTTTCAATAGGGGTATTTTCAGTAATATAATGTGGCTAGAAAATATCATGGATGGTTCTTGAGTCATATGGGGTGGGCAGCCACAGAGGTACACCATCTAGACCTCTACACAGTTGGAAATTATGCATTATTTTTTTTTTAAACTTGCACAACAGAAGGACATGAATTGAAATACATCCGTTGCGTAAAAGCTTTAATCTACCTATTTGTTTTAACTTTGCATATGGTGAATAAGCCCAATTACAGAATATTTAATTTTTATATGGTACTATGAAATTTTAAATGTACAATTTCGCGGAAGAAAAAACCCTCCCATCCGGCGAGCTTAGCCGTAGCAAAAAAATCACCTTGTACCAACTCCGCGTGATAGAAATTGTCACATTTATGGCGCCCAACGTCGAACGCATTTTTTTAATTTTTTTAAATAGCCCAAGCCCTTCTATTGGATGATATCATCTTGTCGGTATTCCAGAAGGTTATATCCAAAACCATGCTGTGTAGTAACGACACGTTGCTGTCTTGAAATAAAGGGTAACCAACCAAGTAATGTAGTAATTTATTCGAATGGAATCATGATGATGAGGCTATATAGCTTAAAACATATTTGTTCTTCTTTTGAAAAATATTGCAAAATCTTGTTTGGTAGGATACATATAACTATAAAAAAATGTATTTCAATACGTTCTTTCTAAAAATTGTATCTTGTGCATAAAATAACATACATAAAAAAAATCAAATTAAAATGAATTCTGTTTCTTTTTTTTTAGTTAATATAAAAAAAGGATAATCGAGCCGAATATATGAAAACGGCGAGAAAAAAAACTTCTATCATGACCACTAGATCGAATAGTAAACTAGTAGGTTCAGATAAACCAAGTACATCCAACTAAGCCACTAACAATTTTTCTGGTAATATTCCAACTCCGAACAATAACCAAAATATGAGTAGTATTGTGAATATCTCACAAGCTTCAGAACAAGAGACCAATAGAACCGTCATTCAATCTTCTATACCCCCCTTAATGTCGCTTGTAACGACGCAAGAAACAGGGCCCCAGACAACATCATCTCCAGTGTCAGGTAGCTCCATTAATAGAAAACAGTACAGTAGCATGGCAGCTCAAGAAATTAGGGACCAATTCGCCAGGAATATTCAGACGGAGTCCACACTTCCAGCTCTGAACGTGAATGTTAGATTAGAAGCGCCAATTAACGACACTGCTGGTCCAAGTCTGAGAGATTATATAGACGCATCTGTTAGAATAGCTCAATCATATGCAATAAAGGCTATAGAGGCCAAATTAAAAGCAATTATTCCTCAAGGTTGTCAGGAGCTCATTGTCAGGAGCTCATTAGAACACATCACCACACAAGAACAAATACAAAATGAGCAGGATCAATCTAGACCCCCCATCTAATCAACAACAACAGTATCAAGAGACAAATTATCCTCAAAGAAATTACGGAGAACCATATTCTCATAATGTACAACAAATTTCGCTTTTGGCTACAAACCCATGACCCCTTTGCAACTGCAAAAATGGGGTCTTAAATATGACGGCTCATCTAAATCGGTTAGTGTAGAAGAATTCATTTTTAGAGCGGAATCTTTGAGAGTAGACTACGTTTGCTCATTAGATGTCTTTATCAAAGGCTTCCATCATCTTTTGACTGGTAGAGCGTTCGATTGGACTTGGCAATTTCGCCAACAAAACCCCCTATGTGAATGGACCTATCTAAAATTCTGCTTTATCAAGAAATTTAGAACTTTCCAGAGCGACTTTGAGATACAAAGAAGAATCATTGAGCGTCGACAGCTTCAATCAGAATCTGCAGACGTATATATCTCAGCGATTATAAGGCTCAAAAACTAAATGAGAGTTCCCATTCAGGAATATGAAATTGTGGGGATTATTAAGGACAACCTGAAAGAGGGTCTGGTACAGTTTATATACCCTAAAAATATAGATACAATAGATTCCTTGTTGGAAGAGTGCAAACGTGCCGAATCCAACATTGCCAAACGCATTTCCTATAGACAACAACAGCAAACAAATTACAGACGTATACATGAATTGGAACTCCAACAAAGTGACGTTTTTGATCCAATGCATGAAATTGAGGCACTATGCAGTTCAACAGCTCCAGGCAGGCAAATAACCTGCTGGAAGTGCAAAAAGTCAGGCCATTCCTTTATCATATGCCCACTTGAACAAAGGAATATATTTTGTTACAGGTGTGGGTTCGATGGGGTTACATCCCCTATGTGCCCTCAGTGTGTGGGAAACCCAAACAAGAACATAGAGAAGTCTGGGACCCCATGTTCTCACAAAGATTCGACTCAGCAATAAAAACAGATGATAACTTCAAACCCACAAATCCGGCTGATGGCAACAAGCTACTTACTACAGGCAAAATTCTAGTTGAAGTACAATTTGGAAGTAAAATTAAAAATATGACGTTTTTCTTAGTTGCTAACCTTAAACAGAGCCTAATCCTAGGCTATAACTTTTGGCAAAATGATGACATCAAAATCTCTTTTCAACCGGAAGTCAGGGAAACAGTTTGTGGTATAGTAAATACGATGGAAGAAGATGACCAGGAAAAGCATAATTTGAACCATCAACAAAACGTTATTCTAGAAAAAGTGAAACTCTCTTTCTGCTGCTATACGAAATACGGTTTAGGCAAAACCCATCTAGAGCAACATGTCATAGACATTGGGAATTGAGCTCCGAAAAAGATGCGGTATTATCCGGTAAGTCCTGCCGTACAAAAATTAATTTATGATGAGTTAGATCGTATGCTTGATCTTGACGTCATAGAAATAGCACAGAACGCAGAGTGGAACAATCGTGTTACTTTAGTCATAAAGCCAAATAAAAATAGACTATGCTTGGATGCGAGGGAACTGAATAAGGTTACCCGTATTATATATCAGCCATTGATCTCAAGGACGCATTCTGGCAGATTCCTCTGGAGGAATCGAGTCGACCCCTGACAGCTTTCACAGTCCAAGGAAGGTCACATTACCAATTCAAGGTAATGCCCTTTGGACTGTGTAATGCTGCTCAAAGGATGTGTCGACTCATGGACAAAGTGATTCCTCCAGAGTTGAAGGACCGTATTTTTGTGTACCTTGATGATTTATTGGTGGTATCACAGAATTACCAAGTTCATATGGAGATGTTAGAGACAGTCGGAAAGAAGTTAACTGATACAGGTCTTACAATTAATATGAATAAGTCCAAATTTTGCTATAGGGAGTTACGGTATCTAGGCTATATTGTTGGCGCTGGAAAACTTAAACCAGACCCAAGCAAAATAGAAGC